GGGCGGTATAGCGGGGTTCGAGTGGGGGGGCAGGGCGGTACAGAGGGGATCGAGTGGGGAGGGCAGGGCGGTATAGAGGGGATCGAGTGGGGAGGGCAGGGCGGTATAGCAGGGATCGAGCGGGTACGCGGGGCGGTACAGAGGGGATCGAGCGGGAGGGCAGGGCGGTATAGTGGGGATCTGCTGGGAGTGCAGTGACTATAGGCTATACAGGGGGAATGAAGGGGAGGTGGGGAGGCTGTATAGCAGGGATGGAGGGGGAGGGCAGGGCTGTGGGATGCAATGGAGCTGGGTGGGCAGGGGCTGCCGAGCACGGACCGAGCGGGGTGGGCAGGGCTGCGTAGTGGGGATCCAGTGGGGTGGGCAGGGCTGCGTAGTGAAAGGAGGGAACGCGGGGCCCGGCACACGGCGGGGTGCAGCAAGGGGCTGTGCTGTGCTGGAGCGGGGTCCGGAGCCCCGTCACGGTGGGATGCCCACGGGAACTCACTCTTTATCCCACCCATCGTGGCCTGCCACAGGCTTGAAACAGGGCGCTTTGCTTCTGGTCTAGGTGTGGCAAGAGCAGTCAGGTACTCGGAGAAAATTAGTGTCTGCCCCCTCGTGTCAGGTAAAGAGCGGATCCATGCATCATCATTTCACCTGTGCCACAGCATGCGGCCCAACGGCTTGGCTGAGAACTGCCCACACTCATTACACCAGCCGTTACAGGCAGTGCAGCCGAGGTGATGGGCAGCTGCAGATAGCACTTTGGCTTATCTCAGTGTAGCCCCTGTGAGCCCATAGATCCGTGAACTCCTTCTGTACTCAGTCATTACTATCTACGTTGATGAGTTAGTGTTAGAGACGTTGCGGGAGGACTGAACGGCCAGTTACAAAACGAAATGCTTCCAGTGTAGACATGTTTTCTGGCAGTGAATATCAATTCCCATGACCTGCAGTACATCCTTTTTGTATTCTAAAACGCTGTCGTATCCAAACGTAACTTTTCATTCTTGAATTCAGTGACATAAAGGCTATGATAAATCATGTATGGCACCTGCTTGATAGGTATATGCTTAAAGTATACCACAGGTGAGGCAAGCTTGAGGAATAGCTGTCTTGTTTTAGTCCTTTTCGGGACATCTTGCATCTCACTGACATACATTTGGATGGCCACAATGAAACAAGGGACTGGTTCCTCCTGTAGAGAAAATGACACCATATCTCAGTGATGAGGGTGAAGATGCTTCACAGTTATTCTCTCCTGGCATGGTATAAGATATATGATGCTAAAGCTGTTTCACCTGAGTAAGTGGCCCTCAAATTCAAGCAGAGAAGGCCAAACTGAAATAAAAGCAACAGTGCTCATCTCAAGCCCTATTCATAGCCCTGTAATAGGACAATAGGTCGAAAGTTTGATGGGTCTATAGCATCTTATTCTTTTTCAGTGTGAAAACCTTAGAAATATTGATGAGAACTAGTATTTCAAGGAATTCAGTGTTCTTTCTTTCAAGGAAACAAACCAGGATGAGGAATCTCTTTAAAATGCAACATTTCTCACTGCATTCTTGTGTTATGAAAAATAATTGTCTGCTTTTTTGTTTTTCGTTCTTTTTTAAAGATCCTTGCTGAGAAAAATGACAGCGGGTTCTGTCTTAGTTCCTCAGGTCATACCTCTTCGAATCCCTCTTCCAGGGAAGGCTAAACATGAAATAGACACAAATACTCTTGTAGAAATAAAGTCAGGTATAAATAACACTTTTGACTCTGTGTAAAACTTTTCCTTATGTGATCATTTGAAACTCAGCCTCTATATTTTTGTTTACATTTAATTATGATTTTTGTGAGTATCCACTTCCTTAAGTAACTCACAAAATTAACCTAGATGTTTTGAAACTGCAAATATATACACTTAACTTTTAGCATTCAAGCAATATTATTGTCATAATATATGAGTTCATACCTGTTCGCAGTTTTAATTGCTTCCGAGATCAAGCTCTTAAGTTGTTGTATTTTGCTGTGACTGCAAAACCAGGACTTGAAAATATGATGTGCCTGGCTCACTCAGAAAGTGTTCCTTACGGTTTTTGAAATTCCATCTTTCATCATGGGAGAAATTATTTTTTCTGTCTTTAGAACAGACAAGTTGTTGCATTGTTTTCATACAAAACCAGTGTATGACTACTTTATGAAAAGAAATATTGCTTGTAATGACATTTTGTTTGTTTAGTCACCAGCATTTCATGGGAGAAATAGTTTTGGTCCTGAACTTTCAATCATTTACTCCTTGATTTTGTTTATGTGAGAAAAATCAAACATAGGAGTGAGTATTTCCAGGTGTAGAGCTTATTTTGCCCAGCTCTAATATAATTTGGATAATAACTTTCTCCGTGTCTTTCAGATACACCTGCAGTCACTATTTATTACACTTTAGACGGAAGTAAGCCAGAACTCATTAGGAAACCCAGCTATGGAGAGCATAATACTTTTGAGTATAAGCAACCTATCATGTTACCAGTTGGGAAAATAATGGTCAAGGCATTGGCAGTTACAAAGTAGGTATCTTGTTTTATTTTAGTAGTACTGGGGCAAGGACTGGACATGCCAGTCATGGCTTGGAGCTGTGTTTTTCTGAGCATTCTGTACCTGGGGAATGAGGGGCAGCTCTTGCCCCAGCCGGTTTTCAGTCTAAGTGATCTTCCTGGATTCCTTTCACTGTGTTCACTTTCTCATAGCACTTTTTAATCATTAAGTGTTTGTGGAGCTGGATTATCTCTACAATGTTTTCTCCTGGGCCTTGGCTGAAGGCCAATGATCCATGAAGGCTGTGGGTGAGGGGCTGGTAAAATACACTGTACTTAGAGTTCTTCCATGTGAGTATGATCATCAGAAATGCTAGAGGAGCTGGTATGATGCTTTCTGAGGCCAGGAAACATCCAGTGATTCAACAGATTTATAGAAGTGGTCTTCTGAGAAACGTGCTCAGCTTCTCCTAAAGGAGCGCAGAATACTAGGCCTCACAGCGTAAGTACAATGTAGCACACACAAAAGCAAAGTAAAAATATAACATGTAGAAAGAGAACTTGATCATTGACTTTCTTCCAGCTAACTTCACACTTAGACACAGGCCATGGGGACACATGCATTCTCTGACTGTACCCTGTTGTATTTTTATGTTCTATTTACAAGGGAGCATAAAATTCCGCTCCAGCTGGGGATCTGGGCTTACTGCTCCCGCACTATTAGCACCTGCAGGTAGCCTTTGCTTATGTCTGCATTGCAATGAAACAACATTATAGTCCTTGTGCGGAGACACGGAAAAAAGGCCTCTATGTATTTTCTGCTATCGCTATCTGGATTAACACTTATTTCCAGTGTGTTTTTATTGAGACGTTTTTAGGTGGGATAAAGATATGCTCTAGAATGACGTTTAATAAAATCTTGAATGGATGTTTTGGACATTTACAGGCATTTTAGTGTTGCTACTGTAATCTAATAAATGGTAGAGAATGACAGTTATTACCTGAAATGAATATCATGCTAACTGCTCCTTGATTGGGAAAATGAGTGCTTACATGTGGTGTTATGAATGGGAGAAAAATCTCGTTATCTGTCTCTGTGGTGCTGGTAAGCACTAATTACCCCAGAAGGCAGACACAGTTTAAGGAGTATCAGGAGTCGTATATGTAAAAGATAGCAAGGAATTAAAGTATCCATATGCTTTATTGGTAACTTCTTACTGTGTGCATAATTAACTTTAAAAAAAAAGGAAGAAAACAAAACGGTAGTTACTGAGAGTATTGCCTAGGTCGTTATTTACTGAAGTAATGACCTGCAAGCTTGGAAGCAATGTTCTACCAAATGAACTGTTTTCATCAATGATTTACGTTTTGCTGTACACCCGTGTGTTGTATGTATATAGCTTTGTGAACATTGGCTTTCAGGGACTGCAGGGAAAGTGCCATCGTAACAAAGGTGTTTCTGGTAGAATACAAACCGCCAATCACCCCCTTCTCTGGTGAAGAGAATGACAAGAATTTCCTAAAGGATCTCTCCATACAGGCAAGTTGTAGCAATTTTGTCTGAGCATAAAATGTTGTATTGTGTTACTCAGAAATTAAACTTTGATTAAACTGTACTGTTTATATATTACATTTTCTCTGTTTGCCCATATTTCCTGCTTCAGTCCTTTCCATGATACTAAAATTTCAAGGGAACACTGCTTTTCTTTTTTCTTGTTTGGTCTTGTATGACCAGTTCAGGTCAGATATTTTAAAAATACATTTATAATTTAAGCATTTTAAATGCTTGTATTGAAAATAAATACCTTAGCTGTATACTTTTTGAATCATAACAAGTAACTATAGCAAGAGATGACTGGAGGAAAGACAACTATTTCATTTGGAATTCAAATTGAATTACTTTCTAGGAGACTGAAAATGGAGTGTTTACTACAAAACCAAAGAATGGAGTGAATGTGGAAATCAAGGCTGCTTGGAGTGAAGCACCCCAAGATTTTCAAAGTATAGTATTACTTTGTAATAGCTGAAATAGATTTCTACCTTAGCTGCAAATAGGTGGTGTAAGGGTTTTCTCTGTTAACGTTGGTAAAATATGGGTAATTTCATAACCATCTCAGAGGACATAGCATTCACTGGAAATTCCAGTTTAGATTTCTTGACGCTGCAAATAGAGAAAAAAAATTACTTTCCATACATATGACATTACCTTTTTAAAAACATTTTAAAACATCATTCAGTTCTGAGCAACATAACAAGGCCCAGTCTGTGTTCTCCTTTGTGCCAGAATATCCTGTTAAACTGATGGGATTTCAAACCCTTTACAGGGTTCTTTACTGATGCTTGAATGTTGCTTGCAGAAGGATTCCAAAATAAATATACAAAACAGAAATGAAAACTTGACCCAAATTGTCTCTTTTAATAAAAGCTATTATTTCATGCTTATGGCAATGGGACTGTTTAAGAGCAGGGAATCATATTAATATTTACTCACTAATTTACTCTTAGGAGCTGTTTGGGGGTGGGGGGGGAAGGAAGAAAATCTTAAATTGAGAAAAATGCAAAAGAAAGCTATTTCAGAGAGGAATGAGATTTCTTCTGGCTTAATTTTCTATAATCCCATGCAATTTATTTTAACCAAGATGTAGATGTTTTAGAATGGCTAGAAATACGTTTAGCCATTGGAATATAAACATTAGAGTATGTGATATTCATGTTAACCTATATGTAAATCGCATGACGTGAAGGAGAGTGGAATAATAGGATGGAATTTGGTTGTAATTTTAGAGTTGGAGACAGAAAGAAGAACTGCTCACAGGTCCCTGAAAGGACCACAGCTCCTGACCAGTCATTTGGAAACTATAGGGTACAGAGAGGAATCCATCTCAGCACCACTCACAGAGTCATTACAGGTAAGCAAAGGGGTATGGAGGGAAATTGTAAAGGGCTGTTATCAGAACTGAGCTCTAAACAAATAAAGATGTGAAAAATTGTGAACGTTCTTACATAATCTGTCTGAAATTAATACCTCTGACTACACTACACTATGCAGTACTGATTTAAACTTGCTGGTAGTGACACACTGGAATAGGAATGCCCAAAGCAGTACGCGGTTATCGAAAAAGGGGAAACCAGGCAACGCAGACTACCAATGCTTACATTCCTAACAATTCTTTTCTAATATGTTACTGAGCTGTAATTAACAAATAGTTATTGCTATAGGTCAGTCAGCTGGTATTTAAAACTTAAGATTCAGTCATGCTTTCTTGGAAGTAAGTAGCAAGACATGTTTATTTTTATTGGAAGAAGTTGTGTGTCCTTACTACAGCTAATGGAGGAATCAAGGTGTAGCAGGTATTCCTTAAAGCACTGCATTTCAGTGCACTTTGTCTCAAATAACATGTCTGCAGTTGATTTTGCTAGCCTTGCATGCATTTGCAAACGTCAGCTAATTAATGCCAAAGAACTCCCTTTATTTCAGTTTGCTAGTTCTTCTGCAGTGATTAGCCGGAAGAGTTTAGCAAGCACACAGACAGCAAGAATCCAGAAGGAAACAGATTTCCTCAAGTAAGTGACTTTTTCTTTCGACATTTTTGTGTGTGGAAAGTAACAAAGCAATTGCCTTAAACAACCAAGTTGATAATACCATGGAGTTTCACAAAAACAAGGAAAGCAAAGACGGACACTGGCTCATAACAGAAGAATGTGATCTAGTTAAGGCTTCGAAAATTCTGATTTCTCTTACTGATGGTTATATTTACTTGTCATTGTAGAAAGCCATCATCTATCTCATCATCCTTTTAAAAACCCCTAATATCTGTAGGATCAGAGGAAAAACTGTCTTTCCAATTTGCAGAGAGCCTTCACTGCTCACTAATCCTGAAAGAGGCGTGTGATCTATATCAGTGCTACCCCATATTGCAGCAGCAAGGCCTGGTACAGATCTCATGTCAAGAAACATGTTTCCTCATGTGGTGAGGAAGAAAGTATGAAATAACAGCAGCCATCGCATTTTATACCTTGCAAGGCTGCTTAGAGCTCCGGGCCTCATATTATGGACACTGAGACATGGCCTGATGGACCACCATAGCCTAAAAACCGCAACTTAGAAATTACTGATCCAAGTCATGTTCCAGGTTACTTTTTCTTATGCCAGTTTGTATGTATTTTTAGATGTGCACACTGTTCTGTACCTCGCCCGTCTGACCCCTTGGCTCACTTCTGTCAGGAATGTGGATCTCCTCTCCCACCTGTGCCAGTACGTCGCTTCCCAGCCCCTGAAGGAGCACAGGTCAGCAAAAAATCATAAAAATCAACAAATCTTCTTAAGAGAGACTAGCTTCCTCAGCAGATTACCCATTTAATCCTGGGAATGCCAAATATTTAATCATACTTTCATTTGGAAAGTTCTATTCTGATTGTTTTATTTTGTTCAGGAACCTTAGCATTGGGACTAATGTAATTTTTAAGTAATGGGACACCAGCTAACCTCACCCTCCCCCCAAAAAATCAACCATTGATTGCTTCAAGTGCCATATGTTTTATTAAGAAAATCTTTGGAAAAATAAATTATGTTTTATTCATTTGTACCAGGAAACATCACCAAATTCAGCATCCTCTTCCTGCAACAACCACCACCAATCTTCAAGAACTGCATATGCACCTTAACTAGTGCAGTCCCATGACCCTAGCCTTCACTGCAGTTAGCATAATTACTATCATAATGATTAATATGTCATAATTGTAGAGGACCCATTTAATGTGCCTGAAGACATACATGGTGGCATGTGTGGGCATATGTAAGAGCACCCTGTTTATCTGTTTTTTTATATGATGCCTTTAAGTATCTTCCCTAAGTTCTTCACAAGAGATAATAACCCAATCTAATGAGTCAGTGGTCTATTTTTTTTTTCCTGTGTCCTCAGAGGGATGTTTTGTCTAGGCCAATGCTGTAGTGTCAAGTGGTGATGGAAGATACTCAGCACCTCATTAGATTAGGCTCATCATTAGGAGGATTTGAACTACGTACACACATACTATTATAGCATTTTAAATCTAGTGAAAACTAGCTTACTGCCTTTCTGGCACATTTTTTAGTAGTTAGTAAAGCATCCTCTCTCCAGTTGTTTTCCTATTTTTTGATAGCCTCTGATCTTTAAGAATCAATATCAGCTTCTGTTGTTGGCAGTTGCTGGTTCCAATGGCTTTGCTGCTGATGTAGACTCTAACCAGCAAAATATTGAAAATGTCACGATAACCTTAACGATCTCATTATGGTCCTTAGTAAGATGCGATGTGGCTTTTCCTTCAGATGGCACCATGTCTTGAGTGCAGATGTCTGGTGCCAATGAATACACCCACCTGCATTGTATGTGAAGCACCAATAGCTCCGCAGCTGCAGCCCCAAACCACTATCTGCTTAAAGGTATTTGAGAATAATAATAACCAAGTAACCATTTACCTCCTACATTCATTTTCTAACAGGTGACTTCATTACAAATATTGTGATCTAACTTGGGTTTGCCTAACTACATTACTGCAGCTTTAAGTGTTAGTAGGATTAAAAATACTTTGAATAGAAATGATCATTAAAGGTAAACCATATACGGTTGCACAGGGAGGCATGCTGAAGAGCATATGATGCAGCATTAGCACTCTGAAACAAATGCATGCATTTGTGTTTAATATAGAGTATCTTAATTTATCAACATAGTTATGGCCTTACTTATGGCATTACTAAGCATTTTAAGTTTATTAAATATATCCTCATTACCCTGTTTACCTTATTGGATTGTGAATGCTTAGTAGACATAGGCTGGCAGGACTTGGGCAGTGGGTGCATGCCCACAAAGTTAAAGCACAGTCTTTGTCAGTGATCAAAAGATGCTAGTGATCTTAGCTAGACAAAAGTGGCTGATAACTGTAGAGGAACATTTCTGACAAGAGGAGGATGCTGAAAGGAAACTGCTGACTGAATAGTATCAGATAATAAAAGAGACTCATAGCAACTATCAGCTAGACATTGACCCAAATTTAAAGCTTTAGGGCAGCCCTGAGGAAGGTACAAAGGCAAACCTGAACTAGTTGGTGCCAACAGTTAAGACATCAGACCCACCATTCTCACTCAGCCCTGGTGGAAACTCACCCTTTTCTTGCAAATATTGGACTGTCTGTGCTGTATAATTTCAGTGACTAAGCAAGCTGACAGTAATACATAAGAAGCTCTGGAGGTATTGATACTGGATCTCCTGACTGAAATGTACCATAGTTTAAACAAAATTGGCACCAATGGTAGATTTGTGATGACCAGGCAATATGGCGTAACTCAAGTCTGAAGCCCATAGCACTGACTTGAAGGATCTCGTCTATTGTGCAGTGCAGAATCCCCACATCATTTTGTAAGATCAAGTCTTTAATGACTGGATAGTCAATAAAGTCAATAAGACTTTATCTTATTGTTGTTACTGACAATTTTTAAATACTATGTGAAATGTATTCGTTCTGTATTTGAAAGGGCAAAGTAATTTGTCAGGCATGTGGCGCAGGAAATCCTCTTCACCATAAACGCTGTGTGACTTGTGAAAGCAAACTGCCTGAAACACAGACGGTAAGGTTTCGTGCACCAATCACACTGGGGTTAATCAAGTCAAAGCAGAAAATTAATATTTTTTTCTCCTCTGAAAAACTGAAGTCATATCCCTTTGAACCTATGTTGCAGAAGCAGAGACTCCTTCCCCTGCTATATTCTAGCTCAACATTCCCACTGATGCCCCATCTCAAATGCCCAGCTACACATAAAATAAATGCATCCTATACCTTCAGGTTTCTCTTGTGGAAGTCAGGATTGCAAATGCCATTGTCAAAGTTCAGAAAACAGATAGTCCTGACTGAGCGTTGTAAGAAGTCTTCTTTGTGTCCAGATTATTTTTAATTGCAGTAGAGAATTTTAGTATATACATCAGGAGTATCATTCTCATTGATTTCAATTATATTATGGAAATAAAATAAATCTTTTACATTATCTTTGTTATCTCCATTTGCTGCTCTCCCTACCAGCATACAGCTACTGTGCTTGTATTTGACAGTAACTCTACACAGAGGTGAGAAAAATGACAATAATCGTTCCCCCTAAAATTGCTATTTTTCAACTCCCAGTTTAGCTTGCTGATTTGGTTCCTTGTAAGAATTTTATTTTCACTCCTGAAAAGTTTTGTATAAAGCCTTATGATACATTTCACTTCTCCAGGTTTTGATAAATATAGAGATGAGAGAAGAAGAATGATTTGCGAGTTAAAATCTTCTGATTATAATGGCAACATCCTGAATTTTAAGACTGTCACTAGCTAGATGCAAAGGTCTTTTGTACAGTCACTGAGGTGTCATTTCAAAGTGAATTTCAGTAGGAATCTGCACTTACTTAAGATAAACACATTTAACTGCTTCACTGAATGTAGGTATTAATATGTGACTGCATAAACTTAAGCATGTGACTTGAATGGTGAGATATGCGATACCTAAGAGAGAAAGTTAAGTGCTTACTGAAATACTATGAATAGTTATTATAAATTTTACTGATAATAGTGAATAAATAGTGATTAGTGATAATTAATAGTAATTTCTAGTTAATAATTACCAATAGTACTGATATTACTACTAATTAAATATTTTAGATTTAAAAAGATATTTAGACCTGTGATCTTGTAAATTTTACCTTCCAAATGTGAAATGATGCAAAACCCCTAAATGACATTGCTCAAATGGTCATCAAGGCTACAGATGAAAAGAGGACTAGTCAGTGTTTTTGCAACTTGCTGTTGTGATATGTCATAAAAATCACTCTCCTCAGACTCTGTTCCTTTTCCATAGTCCTGACTTGCAGAGAAAATAAATTGCATAAGCCCTGAGGCAAAAGCTAACAAAACATTTTAGGACATATTTGTACTAACTAGGATCTATAATCACCCCTCTAGAAGTCTCAACTGAAAAAAAATCTCTTTTGCTTACTCATAGAGGTTAATTGCAGTAAGGAAAGCTAGCTAATATATAACCGTATGAGCAAAAGAGTGCCAAAATTATGTATGAGGCAAATAAAATATCAGACCGAAAGAAAACTCGTTATCTGAATGAACTTTCCCTGACAAATTGCTACAAAGACTTTAAAGTACAAACAAAAATATCTGTTGTGGTTTGGATCTTGAAAATATGTTTAGCAGTAGAAAAACCGCATCTTAGTGTCCAGTGTACTTATACATTGGGCTGCATTAATAAATACTCAAAGAAAGGGGAACAATTGATAAGAGCTTTTTTTTCCTCTCATTTCTAATAAAAAAGTAAAGAAATTGAATTAATACCACATTTTACTGTGGTTTTGTAATGAAAAAATTACAAGCTAGCTCAAAGTCAATCTGATTATTCTCTGTTGAAAGAATTCTTTTAGGCTGAATATTACTTTGTGTTAGTGTTATCAAAGTAGCTTGCTTTCCCATTCCCCTTACTTAGCTTGCAAGCTTTTCTTTATAAGAAGTATTTTCTTCCTAATGCTTGCGTTGTTTTATTAGCCCACGTTTAGAGGAGACACCCCCCAACCTTTCCCCAGTCAGCAAGGGAAGACAGTTGCCTGCTCAAAATGCAGTCGTCTTAACCACTGTGATGCCAGTTTCTGTGACTGGTGTGGGGCCAAGGTACGTGCCAAAACTGACAAAGTTTGGGCTTCTGTTGAAAATTATTTCTGATTAATTTGCTATCAGTGTTTGTGTTGACAAGTCTGTTTTTACTCATCTATGACCTGCAGCAAATCCAAACTTCTCTTTGCAAAACTCGTCAGTTAGGACATGACTTACCATTATTATTATTATCAAAACATTTGCTTAGAACATACAGGATTATGTAAAGAAAAATTAAAGCCTTAGATGACATCCTGGCCCCACTTCAGTTAATGACTTAACGGTTTAGGGATGTAAACCAATTGCAGGGGGTCAATGAGCATTAGCTCATTGCATGAGCTGAGATCCAGTAACCACGTACTCTTTGCCAAAGTAACTTATCCATCAAATGTTAAAGTATAGGCTAACCTAACTCCGGTTGTTGCCCAAAGTGTACCCTGGGCTATGATTGCTTATACAGGCAATTGCCAGATATCAGATGATGCATGCAGACTTTTTGGCTGAAGGCCTCATTAACTTCAGTAAAGACAGCATTTCCTGTATAATTACTGCCCAGTAGAGTCTTTGCTCTACTGAGTACAATCAATGAAAAAAATTCCTTCTGGAATACATTTAAAAGTGTAGTGTTTTGGGCTAAAATCACATGCAGGAAGAGGTTTTTTTTTTCCCTATGGGCTGAGTCCACATCAAATATGAAACTCTCCCCTATAAGTGCACATAACCATTGGTCCTACGCTATACAAAGAGGACTCTAGTGGGATAGTGGGACTGGAATTGAACTGGAAACAATTTCAGTCAAGATTCAGTACCAGCGCATCACACTAGTAATGACAGGGGTTTGCCAAAGAAAAGAAATACTTTTTCAAAGTGAATGTTAAAAAAAAAAAGCTGCCAAAATGCTAGATCTTTCTGAAAAAAAATTTGCCTCCATGGCATAGTGCTGAGATAACTGAAATTTTACTGTCTTGCATCTGCCGATGTGTTAGCAGTCTGGTGTCCTGGTTAATATTTCTAATCTAACACCTTACCATTATTTTAGTTCTGTTACTGTTGTTTTAGTTCTTTTTAATTCATGACATGCTTTTATCTCTCTTGAACGGTGCATCATATGTTGCTGTGGTGACAAGTGTTTTATTGAACTTTCCAGTCTGGCCCTCCTCCGTGCTACTTTACTTGCTTCGAGTGTGGTACAACCAACCAACCGTATGCTCGATTCTGTGGGTCCTGTGGTGTTTATATAGAGCCCCAGGCAAGGGTGGGTACTCGCAACAGCATGCTTATGGGTGCTGGGGACTTGTTGGTCTCATCTGAGGTAAGACATGTGTCTTACAAATGGTTTGTACAAATGACATAATGTTTTACAAAGCAGGGTTTTGACCACATTTAAAAGATAGGCTAGTCCACTGATGGTATAAATCAGTGTAACTCCATTAATTTCCTTTTTGAGACAGTGCTGTGTTCTGTGAGCATTCTGTGGGCAAAACAAAGGATATGTTTATTCTGAGAAGCGTTTTCTATGGAAATGTATTCAGCCTTAGCTGAAGGCCTTAATCTAGCCTTATTCCAAGTAGCAAAGTGAGAAGCAATCAGCTTTTCAAAAGTCTTAGCTCTTTAAGTACTTTTATCTGATTAATCACAAATTATTTGTGCCCTGCTAAGACAAGGTATAAGAATCTTTCATGCATATGTAACGTTGCTTTTAAAACTCTATTTTCTCTATTTTAAGGAAGGACCATGATACTTAGCAAGGGTAGCACGCAGATAGTTTGTCCTACCAGAACACGCGTCAGTTTTGGTTTCTTCATCTTCTTTGGTGTTTTGATTTCTTGAATATTTGTGATAAGTTGCATCGTCTTTTACTGACTGATAAATATAACCAAGAATTGTTAACATCTCTCCCTTCTAGCCTTTTCATTCTTCTACTTTTTTTTTTCGTACTGTTCTGGTTAATTTCTACTTGTAAGTGATTTAATAATAATATTTGCACTTTTCCTCTCTTGACTCCCCCTCAGGCTAAAGGATTCCAAGCTGAAGCTGCCTGGCAGCCTCTTCCTATTTCCTTGTCCAAATCAAGACTAGATCTAAATCAAAGAAAAGATAAAGGAACCCAAACCGTTGGACTTTTTTACCCATCTAGCAAATTGTTGGAGAAGAAGGAGCTTGAGCTGGTTTCGCAAAAAGAAAAGCTGGAAAAGATGAGTGATCATAAGCCTGTCCTAACAGCTATCAGTCCTGGAAGGGGTTAGAAAGAGTTCTTGTTTTTATGTAATCAAGGAAAACTCTTCTTAGTTTCCAAAGCCACGATGTTTGAATTAGTATTTTCTTGAAAAGATTATAGTCTATGGAATGTGCCGTCAATAGACCACTAATTTCTATCTTTACGAGTCTGTCTCCCCACCAGACACTTGTAAATGCAGAAGTCAGACCACTGCTCTCACTGATCAATGGCTAAAAAAAAGCATACCAGCAGTAATCTAAATTAGGGTTAATGACTGCTGTACAGCTTTACTGACTTGGTAGTAGTTTAATCTCCTCAGATCTTACAAGATCAGGGGCAGATGTGTCCTATATTTGAATTGTAAACCTCCGAGAATCATCCCCACCCTGCGGCCAAGAAAGTGAAGTTCAGTTAGTTCTGCTGTAGTGTCTGCTGGGAGAATTGCTGAACAAAACTCTCTCTCTTAGAGACACTGGGGATCACAGCTCTTGAAAAACGTGATGGAGCTTGTCTCCATGAAGAACTTGTTTGGAATAGCATTGTGGAATAGAGGATGGGAGTTTTGGAAGCAAAGCAAATTACACTGGGGAAAGGGATTCTTAACAGGATTACAAAAAATTGGGCTGGTGGAAACTCTTCCAGCTCTTGTAGTCCCCATCTTCCAGCCCTCAAAAGTATCAGTACCTCTACATCATTCCTTGCAGAGTAAGAAGTCCAGAAGCTACTGTGTCATTAGTGCAGAGTAATTTGTTTTGCAGTTGCTGGTTTGGTCAGATTTCTTTGTTGAATATCTAGTCTGTTTGCTGTGATTAAAAACATTGCAATTTTTAGAGATTTTAGTTTTATTATCCTGAGAAAACTCCAGTTCCAGCCTATTAGACCCCAAACCTTTGAAGACAGTCTATCAGTATTAACTAAGGAGCTATTAAATGGCCCAATCTGCCAGATTGTCTTTAATGTCACAGGGCAGTCGAGTTGTGGAGTCCAGAGTATAGGTTAATTTTAAAGCATTACAGCATCAAATCATAGTTTGAAGGGACAATTACTTTTTTTTGCTTGGCTTTCCCATCTCTAGCTCTTTTCTACAATCAGAGGGTCAACCCCTCATGCCATTATCGGTTGTTTATCTATTGTGTGGAAAAGGCACTAATGCACGTTAGAATTTTGTGTTTTGACTCTGTGTGTACATATCCAAATGATTCTTTTTTTGTTTTTAAGATTATCACTAGAGCAATCTGTTTTCCTTCTCCCTTGCTCTGAAATGTGGAGTCTTCCCTTAGAGACATCACTGTAGCAAACACAACACTTGACTCAGCAAGTCTTGGGAGCTTAACTTTAGTTAGAGATGATAAGGGATTGACCCCTAACAGTGCTGAGAAAATGTTTAACACTAAACGCTTCTATATCTGTGCATCAGACATATAGCTCTTGACCTGTGAGAGAGAAATCCTTTCACTAGGAAAGGCTAGGAAGACATTCTGAACTGCTTTTGAACTACAGCAGACTCTTGTTAATTTTTAAGGCAGTTAGCAAAGGCAACTTTGTTGAAGTGTCACTGGTGTAACGCATTCTCCATTAGACCGTCGCAGGGACTGAGGAATATATTTCATTCTATACATGGACAGATATCTGTTACGGTCTCAAGTCTTCTGTGCTGCTGCCTATCCTTGATGCTGAGCTGTATATAAGGCCTGAAACCCCATGCATTGACAAAGCCATATGCCATTACCCAGAAAAATTGTAGTTATGTAGGCCAAATATGCCTGTTTCTTGAATTCAAGTAGTGCCAGTTCCAGATATTGGATGCTATTTTTAAAGTTTAAAAAAATGCAAGTGAATAAGTAAGTAGTTTTTATTCTTCTTGACTATATCGGCCATTAACTAACCTCCTTTGCTTTTGTGAAGATTAAAAAAGAAAATAAAAAAAGGACAGGGGAAATAAGAGCAGTACCAAAACGCTAATCCTCTGATGCGTACTGCATTTCTTTTCTGCTGTACTTTCTGTCTGTGTCGAACAGAAGCCAAGTCATTTACCAGGTAAAATTTACAAAGAAGCCTCCCCTTTTCCACTATAGCAAACAGTAAATCAGTGTGCCCTAGGTGCAACTAGCTATTGACAGCATGAATTCAAGTACTGCATTAATGCTGCCAAAAATCTTTTTAGATGCAATAAAACTTCAGATATGCAAGCGCGTGTTCCTGGCCATTTGGATTTTTTTGAAATGAAAGCTGGGACTCAGGGTTAGTTATGAACCACTTTATTGCAAATAACTTTTACTTCTCTGGAGGCCTCATTCACAAAGTGTTAGTCTAGCTTAGATTTTTAACTACTATTTTCAGTATGTATTTGTTTTTGCATAGGAGACCATGGCAGGGAACAATTTATGTTGCTCTGGAGATCAACTTTCCTTCTCTTTATGTTCCTTTAAAGTTGCCTAACAAATAAGACTTACTGTTTCAGTTTGTCAAAGTTCCTGCCAGATCAGTCTTAGAAGAGTCCTCCAAGCATGAAATCCCTCGTGCACTTGCCCTCTCTGGTAAAAGTCGGAGAGCAGCACTTCTCTTCTGACTTAGCTTCTTTTCAACTATTATGAGCTTCATTTAATGTGAAGGCAAGGACAATATCAGAGCAACTTAAATGTTTAAGTTAAATGAGGTTACCAAGCCTACACAATTTATTAACAACAAAATAAATCATACTCTGTACTTCCTGTAAGTATGCTCAAAAATAAAACTAGCTAGATCCCGATAGCACCCATTTAAGAATGAGAACAAGTCCTTTTGATTTTTTTCTTTGATGAAAACAGAACATTGCATTGAAAATACTGGACTGGAGCTGCCAAAAGCCAAAATGTCTTATCCTGAGTTTTGAATCCTGGAACATTCAGCCCTGAATGTTCCACGCCCTGTATCAACAGAAGGGATTGCCAAGTCTCCCTCCTAGAGAGTCGGACAGGCAAAGGAGCAGGAAGATGATTAGCGAAATAACTCCACTGAACGAGCTAAGCAGTCAGTATTGACAGGAAGATGTATAGCCTTTCCATATTGCATGAATGAGCCCAGAGGACCCCATGCACTCTTCCTAGGAATTAGCAGCTGGCCAATGTTTGGAAGTACTATGTTAGATGTGGCACTTGAAGCCTTTTAAGAAGAGCAGTTGTCAGCCGCATGGTTCAGGAAAGGCATTTCATGCTGAAGGGTGCAATGGCAGAAGGTGCAGGGATGTGAGTTAGTGAAGGAGCATTTGCTCATTTGACCACTTCTGAATCCCAACAACTGGTTGTCAAAGAAAAACTTATTCTTGCTTAAGTTTTAATGTGCTCTCCTCTGTATAATTGGAAGGCATTTGTTTGGGGAATCATTTACATGGATTAGAATGCCATACATTTTGTTACCATGCCTGCAGTTTTTAGATCTGGCTCATTGTTAACTGTCAGTGACATCAAATCAACTAAAAATAAATTCAGTAATGCACAATTGCTTATTTGTAATGTTGTACTGATTTTTATCTGGGATAAAATTTTGTATCTGGGATTTGAGATTCTCCTTCCCAAAGGGCCAGTTTCGATTCTAGAAGAAAACTGAGGCATGGTTTTGTTGTGAATAGAGGTGCTCTAGGAATGAATTATGACTCATTTATAAAAGTATTTCATCTTTTTTTAGAGCGTAACTTGCTTTTCATTTTCTTGATCAGTTGAATCTTCTAAAAAAATCTGATTTTTGTCTCAGTGAAAATATGCTATTTTCTAATCATCCATCACATAAATGGAAAAAAATTTTGATCACAGTTTCAGGGATTTTTCTCCTGCTTCACTCCCTCTGATCAGGTTACTGGAGAAAACAGCTGGATCACATCTGCGCTCACCTGAGAAGCTATGCACAGAACAACCTTGAATTTAGAGCACTGATTGGAGAACCTCGAATGGGAAAGGTAGGAACTTGTGAATAGTATCTTCCTATGTAGTGTGATAGAAAAGAAAAATCTCACGAAAAAATTATTCTGGCTGCTGGAAAAACATGGGGGAAATAAATGTCTCCCTTTTCTTTAGACCTTGACCTGGGGTTTTGGTTGGTTCTTTTTTTCTCCTTTTTATTCCATTTTTTCTGCTTAGTCTTTTACTGAGGATTTTTTTTTCTGCTTTTATTTCTGTAGTAGTTCCTATTCTTCTCTCACCTCACAGCTATGAGAGAAATGACAGAAGCCAGAAAGCCCTTGCTCGGCTGCCTTTACAATGTTCCACACCAGGCAATTGAGAGAAAAAAAGAGGCCATTGACATCTATGCAGCTGGTCAGTTAAATGAGCCCTGCTAGAGAAGTAGGATTTAGATGGTGTTTGCCTCTGCTCATGGCTGGATTACACCAGTAGATAGCAGCAATTCTCTTTGGTCTACATAGTCTACTCCTGCTGCAAACTGGCACTGGAACAGTGTATTTAAGGCAGTTGGCTTTTCAGATTGGAGATGTGGTCTTCATATGTCACCAGAATGCTTTAAAATAATTAAAGGGGTGCTGGTGAGAAGGTGAAAATTGAAGGCTCTTCCTAAGAGTCCTAGAAGATAGGGGTGGAATGACTGAGTGATCATTTGGTCCCTACCCTGACAGAGAATCAACTCTGCCTAAGCTGTTACTGACAGATGTTTGGTCTTGTAGCTTTTAAAACTCACCAACAATGGAGATTTCACAATTGCCCCAAGCAGTCCATTTCTGCACTCAATTATCCTTGAAGTTCAGTTGCAGTATCATATTTTCTTTGGCAGGCCTGCTGGGTTAAGGAGTTGCATCCCCCACACCGCTTCCTAAGTGATGCCAGCACAACTGTTTATGGGGCTGTCCTGTGGACCGGATCAGTGAACTGACCCATGCTAAAAATAACTCGGGGGCCAGGGGAAGGGCATCAGTGCTAGTACACGAGAAGGTTGGCAGTGAGTAGCTGAAAGTGGGATGGAGGCAGAAGCAGGACTGGGATTTCCTTAAGTTGGCATTGCTACTGAGAAAATGTGGGAAGCTTTTTCTCAGTATCTGAGCTGAATCTCCCTTGTTACAATGTAAGCTCATTACTACTTAGCCTGTCTTGAGGGTTATGAAACACCCATGAAAAAAGCAATCATATCAAATAGAAGCAACTATAGAAAAACTCCTGCTGTACACGTGAACCACAGAGGGTCAGAAATCTAATTGGCATTTGGCAAATTTCACTTTTGTGAGGTATGACACTCCATCAGATATTTTGCTTCTGAATTTTATATCCACTCAGACCTATTGTGTCCACCAGTATGTTCAGAAACTGTAGCACAAGTATAAATATAAAGGATATCTGCTTGGTGGAGATGAGATACAGATTCACTGCAACTTGTTTTCTTTACTAGAGGATTCAAAAGGATGTGCCTGAAAGATATTAAATTGCCTAGAGAGACTATTCCTGCTCCTTCTTGGCCTTTTGTCATCCTATTGTCTTGAAACCATTACCCCCAAAAGTAACAGAAATGATTCAAAATAGATGCCAACTATCTGAGTTGAATGCTTCTTTTTGAGTTTTCCTGCAGATTAGAAATATAATCAACATTATCAAAATTCTCAGCCTGCTACAGTGTAACCTTGTCAGCTTCATACCACTTTTTATGATCCCCTGTGCACTTTTTATAAATGACCTCAATTCCCTTCCTGCCAGCACTGTTGTCTAAATGAACTGATACAGAAAGGTGCCCATGTTTTACTACAGACTATGCTTCTACAGTTTGGTAAATTAAAGCAGTTAACAAGCTCTGCTGGATTAGGGAATCCTAAGGACTACGTAGCCTTTCATGAAGCTGCAAAGTCTGAGTGGAAAACAGCCGCAGTTGTATGAAGCATAGCATTATTGTATCTTTTGGACGAATTGGGCATTTCTGGCGTTCAGATATTGCAGTCACTCAAAATACCACATGCCCCTTGCTCAGTTAGATGAGAAGTGGTGGTACCATATCATAAAGGCCACTTGGGATGAATATAGGGACGTTGTCAGAGTATGCAGGGATGCGACAAGAAAGGCCAAGGCCCACTTGGAACTAAATCGGGCAAGGGATGTCAAGGGCAACAAGAAGGGGTTCTTCAAATACATCATTAACAAAAGGAAGACTAGGGAAAATGTGGGCCCCCTACTGAATGGGGTAGGGGCCCTAGTATCAGAGGACACAGAGAAGGCAGAGATAACTGAATCCCTTCTTTGCCTCAGTCTTTACTGCTAAGGCCAGCCCTCAGGAATCCCTGACCATGGAGACTGGAGAGAAAGTCTGGAGAAAGGAAGACTTTCCCTTGGTCGAGGAGGATCAGGTTAGAGATCATTTAGGCAAACTTGACACCCACAGGTCCATGGGCCCTGATGGGATGCACCCACGAGCACTGAGGGAGCTGGTGGATGTCATTGCTAGGCCACTCTTGATCATCTTGGAAAGGTCCTGGAGAACAGAAGAGGTGCCTGAGGACTGGAAGAAAGCCAATGTCACCCCAGTCTTCCAAAAGGGCAAGCAGGAGGAGCCAGGAAACTACAGGTCAGTCAGCCTCACCTCGACCCCTGGGGAGGTGATGGAACAGCTCATCCTGAGATGAGCATCTGGAGGACAAGAAGGTGATCAGGGGCAGTCAGCATGGATTCACCAAAGGGAAAT